AAAAAAGTAAAAGGAAACAGAAATCCACAGCTATGACTGCCTTAATACCTGCTCCACAGAGGAGGGAGCCTTCTGGACTGCAGGCTCAAGGGCAGGCCAAGCTTGGCAATGCTGGTAAGTGTCCACACCAAGCAGCTCTTACGTGTGTACCTCTCATCTGTCTACACAGCTCACCAGAAATGTGTTCCTTTTTTCTTTCTTTTTTTAAAATTGAGATGGAGTCTTGCTCTGTTGCCCAGGCTGGAGTGCAGTGGCACCAATCTCGGCTCACTGCAACCTCTGCCTCCCAGGTTTGAGTGATTGTCCTGCCTCAGCCTCATGGGTAGCTGAGATTACAGGTGTGTGCCACCATGCCCGGCTAATTTTTGTATTTTTAGTAGAGACAGGGTTTCACCATGTTAGTCAAGCTGGTGTTGAACTCCTGACCTCGTGATCTACCTGCCTTGGCCTCCCAAAGTGCTGGGATTAGAGCCGTGAGCTACTGCACCCAGCTGATTTTTAACATTCTTAAAATGACAAAATTATAGAAATGGAGACCAGACTAGTGAGTGTCAGGGGTTGTGGCAGGGGAGGTAGATGTGGCTATAAAAGGGCAACACAAAAGGATGGAGATGTTCTACATCTTGACTGTATCCATGTCAGACTCCAGCTGTGATATTGTACTATAGTTTTGCAGGATGCTACCAGTGGGGGAAAATGAGTAAAGGGTATACAAAATCTCTCTATATTATGTTTTACAATTGCATGTGAATACAATTATCCTAAACTTTAAAGTTTATTTTTTTAAAAAAGGACTTTTACCTTTTAGAGCTACATACAGAAATATCTACAGATCAAAGAGCGAAAATGAGATCTGCTTCAAAAACTCAGGAAGGGGATAAGTGGAGGGCCGGGGAGAATAGATAAGACTAGCTTTAAGTTGATAACTTACTAAAGCTGGGAGATGGGGACTAGGGCTCACTACACGATTCTCCCATTTCTGTGTATGGTTAAAATTCATACAATAAAAATGTTTAAAAAGAAAGTTACATTAAAAGCAGAAGTGTTACATCAAGAAAAAAGAAAAAAAGAGAATATGGCAATTTAAAAAAACTTTTCTTAAAAAATATGTTAATAGTGCCTACCTATTTATTCTTTTGAAATAATTTTATTCACAATTTTCAAGTTCTAAATAATATTCCAAAGGGTACTGTAGTAGAAATTGGTCTGTCTCTCCCATATATTCACTTTCCCCTAACTCTCAACTTAATAGAGCTCTGGATTTTTAGTGGGGGCATAGTACCTCCCAGAATGAAGACTACATTTCCCAGCCTCCCTGGAGCTAGGACTCAAGACTAAGTTTTAGCCAATGGGATATGAGCAGAAGCATCCTGTGCAATTCTCAAGGTGCATCCCTGGGCATACTGTGGCTTCTCCTTTATCCCCTCTTCCTCCTGACTGAAATATGGACATATGATCTGCCACTCTGGACCACACAGACAGGACATTACTCAAGGATGGTGGAACAACAAGAGAAGGAGCTGGGGCCCCTGGGACAACCCCATAGGGCAGAAACCTGCCACTCTACTTCTGGACTGGTCTATGATAGAGGAATAAGCTTCTGTCTTGTTTAAGGAATTGTTAATTAAAGGCAAAGTTATATCTTAACTAATATAGGCACTAGTTACTATTATAATAAATGCATATATTAATTTAAGAAATAATGTCTTCACCATAGTTTTTAGTTGGATGGAAGAAGTTATATCTCATTCATTAATTACTTTATTTTTCCCGTTAGGGTTTTGCCATCTTCTTTGAAAAAAATTCAAGGTTTTTTTTTTTTTTTCTGCTACTATAAACAATCTCTTCCTTAACTCCTTAATTCTAATTCTGTGTAGCAAAAATTTTTATCGTTATGTATAATTCTATCAAAATAGTTTCAGTAAGTGTTGAGGGCCTTAATAATAAACCTTTGCTGAAGAATCTGCTGATTTATTAAATGAGAAGTTAGAACAACTGAGATCCTGGAGGGCTTTCAAACACCACAACTCTGTGGTTACTTCATGTATGGTCAGCCAAGTGGTGGGAACCAGCAGGCTACCTGTAGCCTATGCATATTTAAAATGGAAGCTTCTGAGATGACTGGAATGATACTCACTTCACACCAAAGTGGACCTCCAGAGAACAAAGATGACTGTGGTAAGAGTATGAGAAAGACTCTGGGGCCTCCGCCTCCAGGTGCTCTGTTGCTGAGCCACACAGTGCTCTGGCTCTTGTTCTACTCTGCCCGTCAGACTATAAGCCTGTAAATATTTTCCAAATTCTCTCTTACCAGCTGGCTTCTCATAAAGTTGTGATCCTAGGATGTGCTGGTGAAAGACTGGGAGATAATCTTTCTTTTCCTCTGACTTGGTGAAGCTCTGGACAGCAGTAGTAGCAGGCAAGGGAAGGTGTCTACATGTGACTCCTGCAGCAGTCGTGGGCATTTGGGTTCTTGGGTTTTTAGGCAGCAGATGCCGTGGCACTTCCAGCAACTTTGTGACAAGTACAAGCTTCAGACTAGGGGTGACAATGGCTTCCTGAAGACCAAATCCATCTCTCTAACGCAGACCTCTCACCTAAGCCCAGACCTGTATACCTAATGACTTGCTTGCTATCCTCACCTCAGGCAACATTCCTAAACAGAACCTGGCATTTTCTTCTATTCCTTCCATTCTTTGGTATCTGAACCACCTGTTCAGCCACAAGATGAAAACCTGCAGGTCAACCAGACTTTCATTCTCAATCCTAGTCAATCCCCAGGGCCTGCCGATAATACCTCCTGAATTTCTCCTGTTCACTACACGCCTTTAATAGAAATCACTCACCTGGAATGCCCTGATCTCAATTTTGTCCTCTCAAAGCCATCTTTCAAAAATACATTTTTGCCTACTGGTTCCCAGCTTATTTCAGATTCTGTGACTCCATGTGACAAACTTGTCTATCACACTGCACAAAGAAGTACTGTTAGAAACCTGGATGTGCCAAATTGTCGCTTCAGTGCCTTTGCACATGATGTGCCCACAATCTGGAATCCCACCCAACAATCTGCCTGGTGAACTACTTTTCATCCTGAAACCCAGCTCAAGCATCTCTTTCCTGATCTCTGAGGTCATTTTTCAACATCACAACTATCCCTGGGCACGTCCCTGTCTCTGTTTACCGAAATGAACGGAATTTTCTTTTGCAGACTCCTGGAGGAATGAGCTGCAGAGCCAGAACTCTGTTCACCTTTGTATCCCTAACACCTAAGACAGAGATCGGCACACAGCAGCCCCGTAAGAAACATCTCAAATGGAATGAAATGTGCATTACATGTCTGTGGCCTGACATCAAACAAGATAAACTTCCAAGAAAAGCATTTTCTCAATACTGGTTAAGAGTAAAACTAAAACTGAAGGTTAACAGAAATTGTAATGGCAAGAATAGAGCATAAACTCTATTGAAACATCCAAATGTCCGGGTGTGGTAGTTCACACCTGTAATCCTGGCACTTTGGCAGACTGGGATGGGAGGATCACTTGAGGCCAGGAGTTTGAGACCAGTCTGGGCAACCTAGTGAGACCCTGCCTCTACAAAAAAAAAAATAATAAATGAAACATCTAAAATGTCCAACAGCAGGAAATTTGTTGGTAAATTACAGCACAAACTACATGAATACTCTCCAGTACTTAAGATCTTGCTACACAGCAGGGTCTCTGACCGACAGTATCAGTGTAACCTGGAAGCAGGTTAGAAATGCAGAGTCTCAGGCCCCGCCCCAGTCTTGCTGACTCAGCATTTTAATGAGATCCCAGGACATTTCTGTGCACATTAAAGTTTGACAAGCACTAGCTTAAAGTACTCAGTACTTACATTTATTGACACTGAAAAATATAAGAAAAAGGCAGTTTTATAAAAATCTATGCATCTACACATGTAGTTATCTCCTGGGATATATCTATTAAAGGTATGTGCTCTGTGGTGGGCAGGCATATGCAAACCCACCCCCATAGGCCAAGGAAGAGGCTGACAAATCTAGTTTCTCAGAAAGAAACCCGTGATGGGGACTTACAAACAGAGGCCATGTCCTGGGTGGCGGCAAGACAGCATAATGGTTGCCCATGCTATTACTCCCCAGACTGAGGGCTTATACATCCAGGTCTTCTATACCATACTGAAGGAATGTAGAGGACATTGACGTCCAACCCTCAGGAAAATGCAAGAATTTGCTGAAGGGCAGGACTTATGGTATAACTGCAAGACTATTTTGACCTAAGGGCAAGATTTACAGTAAGTATGTGAATGTAGAAACCTTAGAAGCCTTCCTGGGACTGGGGTCAGAAGTCAACATGGCAGATTAGCATCCAAAATGGGGTTGCTTTAGCCTCCACAGTATGAGTTTGACTTCCCAAGAAGTTTCATCAAATCCCTCTACTTCAGCTCAGCAGGTATTACTTCTTCTGATTTGCAAGGGACCATGTGGATTCCACGTCCCTCAGCATCAAAAGAGAAGGGCCAAGCTGGGTACAACAGACAAACAGCGGAGTGGCCTTTCCATGATCCCTTGGAGAAGCCAGGGCTTATCAGCTGAAAG